CGAGACTGGAGCCTCTTGGCCTCCAAGAGGCTAGAAAGACGAAATCTAATCCAGCCAAAGTGTAATTCTTCCTCGTGTAACTGATGCTTTGACGCCTGTAGTTTGCTACACTTATTATTTTTATGCACAAGCTTAATTCATTCTGAAATTATTTTACATCTTGCTAAGTAGCATCATTTTTCGTTTTTTTTTTAAATATCTTTTATGGCTCTTTTAGTTTACAACCTTAACGTGTGCCGGACCCTGCCTGCCGGTCAATACCAAGCAAAACTTAGTAGCAGCCTCTCCGCATGACAAGATGAGAATAGTCTATATAAACGAAATAAACAATGTAATAGATATTCAATTTATAAATCTCTCACAATTGCTGTCGACACCAGCCTCATATATGGGCATCATTTCACAACCGTGTTGTCCTATCAAGACAGGCACACAGCTTTTTTTTTCTGTTTTTTCAGCGATGTACGCTGCTCAAATGGTGAGTTCACCACTAGTGCAAGGTCGGGGCATAAATCAGGAAATATGCAATGTTATTTTGGGTTCCTGCATCTTTACAAGAATGAAATCGTCAATATTGTTCACACGCACTGAAGACAATCCGTAAGCGCGCAAACAATTTTGTGAAATCGAACCTCTTTTCTTTGGCGTGTATAATATTGTCACGAATGACAGACGATGAGGCAGGAGAAAACAGAATGAACTAAAGATTTAATGGTGACGAACGTATGCCAGAAGCAAAAAAGAGGAACACACGTCGAGAAAGCAGCATCGAGCGTCGACGGGGGCAGCAGCAAGCGACGGTGCATCGGCGTAACAGCTGGCTGACGCGAGAGAGAATCAGTGAAATTCATCGGCAATACAGCGCTCAGCTCTTTATCCAGTATGCTCGTCATCTCGAATATTCGACCTCGAATGTTGTGGCAATAACCGGCGTGATACTGACTTGGCAAGGCCATTCTGGCCTCCTTATTTTTTTCGCTTGGAGTAAGAGTATACGCGAACCTTCTAAATTCATAGAGAAGCGCGTATTCTCGATCAAGCAGCGGGATTACTCTTCCCTTTAAAAGCGCACTGCCTCGATGCAAAAAATAAAAATAAATATTGGTAGGTTAAAAAGTCTTCTGGAAAACGAAACGTGTCAGTGATAGCGAGTGTAGAACGGCTTCAGTCGCACGACGTGAACAACCTCGGGTCGTGGTCAGCACTGTGATGATATTTTCATTCCGTCCCACACCACCTCGTAGTTTAGATCTCCGAGGCGACAAAGTATTTTCTACAGTCCGAAGTACCGTTTCAACAGTTTTTCGCTCAGGCCGCGGCGACGAATGGGTGTCCACACCCACACCCTGTCCCCGGGTTGGAAGTGAACCCCCAGACGACTAAGGCTGTAGCGGCCAGCGTCAACACGCTTCTGGTCTTGAATCCGGAGTCGGGCGACCCGGCAGACTTCTTCAGGCCGTTGAGGGTCCCCCTGGGCGTCGTCGCTCCAATCGTCAGCTGGCTCGTGGGGCAGCATTCCGTCCAGCCTGTTCGTTACTTTCCGACTATGTACCAGCTGGAAAGATGTAACTCCAGTGGTGTCTTGAACTGGGCCGTTGTAGGCAACTGTGACGTACGGTAATACTACGTCCCACGTCTTGTGCTTCACGGCGACGTACATGGAGATCATGTTGGCGATGACCTTGTCTAGCCGTTCCGTCAGACCGTTCGTCAGCGGATGGTATACGCCGTCATTCGGCGATGGCTGGTGTGGTTGAGCACAAAGGTCTCTTGAATTAGCTGTACAAAAACGACGATACTCGATCTGTAATCAACATTTCGGTTGCAACATGCCTGCGGACGATGGAATGGACGAACAACTTGGCGAATTCAGCTGCAGTGCCCGATGGAAGGACTTCGGTCTCGGCGTACCTTGTAAGTGGTAATCGATCGCGACGACGGTCCACCGGCTTCCTTGCGTCGATGGGGGGAACGGTCCAAGCAAGTTCATTCCCGTTTGCTGGAACGGCATAGACGGGGATGTGATCGACTACGGAGTTCTCCCAGCTTCGTCGGAGGTGATAACCAGCAGCAACGTCGAGTTGGTGCCGCCGAAGTTTTCTTTGTAGAGCTAACCTTCTCGAACAGTGTAAGTTGTTAGGGCTCGTGCGAAGACACGTAGAACTGCCCCCCCCCCCCCCCCCCCCCCCTTTGCCGCTCCAGATGATCGATGATTGCACGCATCTCAGGATCGTCTCGTTGAAGTGCTGCCGTGTTGTTCACGGTTACCGCGCCGGCAAACATGTCGTCGTCTTCGCTGTCGTCGGTGCGCTCAGACTCCAAATCGACGGGTACCCTTGAGAAGCTATCGGCGTCGCTAAGCTTGCGGCCGCTCCTGTAGACCACACTATACGGCGAATTCTTGAAGTCAAAGGCTCAACCGCGCGAGACGTCTTGAGAGATCCTACAGGTTTGCAAGCCAACAAAGCGAAGAGAGGTCTGTAGCCACTCGAAACGGGCTTCCGTACAGGTACGAGCGGAACTTGGTTATCGCCCAGACGACGGCAAGGCATTCCTCCACGTTGATCAAGTAATTGCTCTCTGCCTTGGAGAGCGTCCGACTGGCATAGGAAATTACTCTTTCTGCGCCCTCTGGCAGTTGTACAAGCACCGCGCCAAGTCCTGTATAACCTGCGTCCATGTAAATTTCGGTGGGTGCAAATTGGTCGAAGTAGCCGAGAATCGGAGGCGTTTAGAGCCTTCGTTTGAGCTGGTCGAAGGCCCGCTGTCATTCTTGTGTCCACTTGAACTTTACGGCACCCTTTGTAATGTATGTCACAGGCGCGGAAAGTTTGGCGTAGTTCCGAATGAAGCGTCTATATTAGGCGCAAAGCCCAATAAATCTTAGGGCGGCCTTCTTGTTCGTTGAGCGGGGAACTCTGCTACTGTGGACGTCTTTGCAGAGTCAGGCCGTACGCCTTCGCTACTGATGACATCGCATTGATATAGCATAATTTTCTTGCTATATCTATCCCGAAAATCCTCTATCCCAAGAACCAGGTGCCCTATGCATGTGGGAAGGGTCCACTTTGGGGAAACGGTCGGGGGCATCCTCTTCTGGGTCAGCAAGGTGCGCCTAACTGAGTTGTGCTTGCGGGCGAAATCGATGGAATCGCAGGTGCGTTTTGCGGGTTAATGCCTCGTTTTTCGCTGCCTGATATCGTGATGTGAGCGAACAGCCTGAAGAAAAGCTTCAGAGTGCCAAAATAGCTAAATTTCTGCTTTGCATTGTGGATTAAACGGGATTTTGTATTTTAAAATAGGGTTGCCAAACGGAAGTCTCGAAAGATCATGCGTGATCACCGGGAAACCACCAACCGCGTCTCGGTGTTTCTGAACGGGGACGGTCACGTACCGCGTCCGCAACTGCTTCGCAAACGCAGCTCAACCATCGGTGTGAATACGCCATAACTGCGGGACAACGGCGGGAGGGCCGCACGGCTCCCAAGAAGCGCGCTGCGCAGAATCGTCCCGCCAATCATGTGGACACCGCTGAGCACCGAGAGGAAATGTTGCTAGCGTCACCGGTTACGGTTGCCCGGAAAAGTAAAAACTAGCAAAGGGGGCAAATGGTAATGACGTTTAGCTCAATGTTGGTTACGCCCACGCCGTAGCCTTGACTGCGCTGTTGGTTGCGCCTGAATGCGCCCGCTCGAGTCATTTCGGAAACTTGGCGAGTTGCAAAGGTTTGCCGGACCGTCTAAGAAACATTTGGACAGTACTACGTCGTAATATTTGAGGTGTGGTCTTTCTAGGTGATACTGAAGAGAACTGTATTCTTTTTCCAAAAAAAACAAAAATGAAGCGGCGTTCTCTTTAAAGAGGCGCTGACACCCCAAAGGTCGTATTTTTTTTATTGTCTAGAACGATAAAAGATGTAATCATAGACACAAGCAAAAAAAGAAAAAACCAAAACGCAAAAAAAAAAAAAAATTGCACGCGCGTTTGCGTTTTTTATTTTTGTTGTTTTTCTTTCCCACTTCTCACCTCCTCGCTTCTTTCAATTTGTGACGTCAAATGTAATAAAATTTAGAACCTTTGTAGGCACCATTTTTATAACATCTTATTACGGCAAACATAAAACATGTTTTTAACATAATTTCGAGCGCACAACAACTCGTTTTTTATTTATTTATTTATTTATTTATTTTTTTTTTTTTATATAGCGAAAGTCGGGGTTTGGTGTGATGTCGCCTCATGAATTTCTATCCTCCCTGGGAAAACATGGCGGCGCTCGACGCATGTAGCAGAAGATGATCGGTGAGTCGGGAATTCGGACGAAGTGGTCTTTCTTAGGGGCCCGGTGACCTCTCAGAAGTCGAAAAGGAAATCGTCAAACGGTCAAAAGAACTGGCTTTGGTGTCTGTGTAGAATAGTTTCGGTTGTGACTCCGCCGGGGCAGCCTTTCAAGCTGAACCGGCGAGCCATGGCCCCTCGCGCCGCTCACAAAAGTCCACTGCGCGTTCTCTTCGACCTCCACACCATTTCATAAAACTTGAGATCACTGAAAAGGCCCTAAAAAAACTTAAAACTCGAAATTCAAGCGTTGTTTGCTCGCAGCGATAGGCGGCAAGGCACGCACGGCGGAAACCGGTTGTTCGCGTCGAGGCGGCAACGGCGGTTCGGAGAGGAGGCGTGAAAGAAACTTGACTCGCAGGACGGTTCAATATCTGACGTCACCGCACTGGCGAGGATCGCGCGGGAACTTCAGATTCCGCATTTGGAAATTGTTTTTTAGTTCACAAATACTGAACTCACAAGTTTCGAATTTTGAGGGGTATGTCCAGGCATCGTTTTCAACTGTTTCGGATAACAAAAAAAAAAAAAAAGAATATATATATATATATATATATATATATATATATATATATATATATATATATATATATAATTTTGACCTGTCAGTGCCCCTTAAAGTCATCGTGGGTACGCTTCAGTGGAGGCATTACAAAAATAGAAACTTACGCTTTGCAAGCTTTCTCACATCCTTCTTGGGTCTTGAAAATGTTTTTATCTCTGGTTCTACGCCAAAGGGCTAACCGGGTGGTTTTTATACACTCATTTTGATTCAGGTCATAATAATACCGAGACAATCCTATACTAAATCTTCCCTTCACTGGCTCTTTCAGACAGCGGCTTTCTCTTTCATCTGTAAGTTCACAATTGTTTTTTTTTTTACTTTTATTTCTTTCGGGTAGTTGAAGCATGCACAATATTAGGCTGAATTTCTTTCGTATCCAATATTGCTTTACTTTCCACATTATGTAGTTATTACCATATTATAATTATCATACTGGCAGAAGGAAATCTCACTTTTAAGTCATACATTTGGTAGCAGTCGTAGAAAGCTTCAGCATATGTAAAATGTTAACTGTCCATGTAGAAATGAGGTTTATTTTTTTCATTTATTTAGTGAAGAAAATAATTCGACGTTTATATTTTTAAATTATAGCAAATCATTTCGCGAGTGGAGTACTAACTCCTGGTCCAACGAAGCACGTACAGAACTATCAGTCTGGGGTAAGAGCAAAGAAGATTAAAAAACAGGAAATCAAAACAATATCTACATTGATTTCCATAGCCTCTCTAGCAACATCTAATTATAAACTATTTCTGGTCAGCGTAGAGTGTACTATACTTTCTTTCACCTTACGTCCATACATCCGGTGCTACGAGCTGATGACACCAATCACACAGCGATTTTCACCATCATAGTGTTCCCCGTGTTTCTGTGCGTGTTTTATCATCACTGAACCAATCAAAAGAGGAAAAGGCCAGCGACTTGTGCTTTCGATACCGTTTGATTGGTCCCCTTAGCTCGCAGCGTTGGCTGCGTCATTACTTAAGCGGAAACAAAGTTTTGTACGTTCGACCAAGGTTAGGATAAGATGGTAAGTGTAGGAGGACTACGGGCAATATATTTTTATACCTGGTCTTACACTTTCCGGTCGCGAATAACCTTGAGACATAGAATACAGCGATTATTTTAATATTTTTTAGTGAAATATAGTTGGAACATATCCAAATAGAACTTCATAAATCGCCAATTTATTTTTCATAATTGCTACAAAAGTATAGGTTTAAAATTACTTTAATTCATATTTCCCGCTGATATTGCCTTTCGTCGAATTTGAAGACCAAATAAGACAAGGTTTGTTCTTTATGGAAATTTAGTTCTTCTGTTTATTAGTAACGCCTAAATTAACTTGTGCCTAGCACTTCCTAAAAAGATTTGTGAGTGTCAAAAAAGTTCATAAATTGAGTCTGTATCATGACTGTTTTTTAATTGATAATCTTCAGTCTCAATCTTCGAACATTCACCAGCATAACAATTTTAAAACGTTTTGACAGGCGTTGAAAAAACAGTCATTAAAAAAAAGCCGTTAATTCTTACTGGAGCATGTTTTCCAGCATTCTTGCGGAGTCCTGAAATTGTTAGTATCATCACTGCATCCGTCCATTTTTTCGCATTTCTTCGATGTCTCGTTGTACCAGTACCGCGTTTCTTGAGATTCACATATTTGCGATGTAATGCGGGGAAGCTTACATTTTACCTGCACGAATTCTTGTACCCAGCCCCCCCAAAAAATACAATAAGCACAAATGAATACCAGGATGCGTTGACGGGGGGAATATGTGTATATGCATAAACAGTCCTCCATAGTTGCACAAACGAAAACGCAAAGGACAGGGAGGCGTAGAAAGCGGACACGGACAGGCACTAAGCAACGACTTATTGTAAAGATATTTCAAAAAAACAGGCTAGCTAATGACCACTCATAAATAAAAAAAGAAAAACAGAGTATGTAACACAAAGGGTCATAAGCAATGTTCCTCTCTGTCCCCCCTATCTGTGTGTCGCTCTGTCTCAGGCTTTTCCCGGTATGTATAGTAACTCACAAATAATTAAAACAAAAACAAAAATACGTAAGTGGCATTGTTAAACAAAAAAGAAACAACAAAAATAGAACTACAAATATTTATGAAAAATATTTTTTTTTTAGGCAAAGAAACAAGGCGCTATACTTACTTCCACAAAGTTCATAGCACTTTTGCTCGGAAGAAAAGGAACCACAGTGAACCCTTTCGCATCTTCTAGTCTCCATGTTAAAGCGGAATCCGGCTTCCTTTTTATTACTGCAATTTTTATGAGCGGATGGCCCACATTGTCCGAGATCTGGGTCTTGAGGTGGTTATTGAAAATTGCTTAGCTTTCAACACATTAAAGAAGACAGGCACTACACATAGAATATAAATATAATACCCTGTAGTATTGTACACAGTGGCAGTCCCACAGCCTGCTCCGGGCCGTACCTTCATATCAACATGGTGCAACTGCATAAACGTCGGCATGGGAAGTACTTGTAAAGACACCTGTCATATTTTTTTTTTTTCATTTATTGACTGAACCCTTTTTAGCTGAGCTTCTTGACTGGGGATTTTTTTTTTATAGTGTTACAAGCGTTCGGGCGCTTCAAAAAAACACTTGAAATAAAAAAAATGAGAATAACCTTATCCAGCGTGATGAATATCAGTTTATAATTTTGAAGCAATAATCACAACTTACATGCCCTAATTGAATTGACGAATTCAGACGCTGCTACGCGCCGTACTTAGCAGGAGGGTATGCACTTGGGCTAATTGGTTATCCATATTTTCGAGGGTGAAAGCGCTAAAAACAACGGACAGGTAAAAGAAGAGAAAAGAACACGGAGCGCTCTGTGTTGTCCGTTTCTTTTACTTGTCCGTTGTTTTTAGCGCTTTCACCCTCGTACTCAGCATTTCGCCGCTTCTGTTCAGCTATTTCCTCCTGGGTCCTTTCCTTTTGTATAGTGATGATTGCGGCACAATCAGTGAACGTCTCAACTCGCCCCCCCCCTCCCCCCCCCCCCCCCCCACACTTTGTGCGTGTTAATAAGAGTAGAACTGCAGCATGCGGGTATGTTTTGATGTGACGACCGGAATACTTCATGGGGGACGTGGTGGAGGGGGGGTTGTTTCCGCCATTCAACGAATGCGTGGCGACGCATGTTAGTTGCGCGATTTTGCCACGAAAAGCATGATCGTAGGCGTAAATATGCACTGCAAAAGAAATTGAAGCCTTGATATACGTCCTAATTTAAAGTTTATTTTTCTTTTTGTCGCCGCGAAATGTTTTACGCGCCTAGTATATTTCTAATAGCGAGTTCGTTTCTCACGCACAGGCACCGTGAGAGTTGTCTCCCAGAAACCATCGCACTCATGGAGTGCCGCATGAAGAAACGGGCCTAACGAATTAGCCGAGTGCAAACCGATGCTCTCGCCATCTATGCTGTAGATCTAAGTTTGTACCAAGAGTTCTAACCTCAAACCTAAACTAGTGCCTTGCTGTTTGACGTAACAGGCCGGAACACGAAACAGAGTGGCTGCTGCAATGTTTGTATTAGCGATTACTTAAACAGCTCGTTTGTCGTAGAGATATTTACATACTACATATCCTTCCGCCAAGTGCTGACAATAAAATAACTTGCATGAAATAACAAAAGGCGAGCATTATTTCAAGTCTTACATAACTGTTTGCACTGGAGAAAGCATCCGTTACACTAGTCACGCATAGGCTTGATCAAATTTAAACGTGAATCACTGAAAGGATGCGGTTTCAAACTATAGCCCGCTGGATCCTCTAACTATACGCTTCGCGGCAACTTCGATTTGAATCCTTGCTCACATACAGCTGGGTCAGCTTTTATTCTTAATGCGGTGATATCGAGAGCAGTCTCATACAAACAAACGAGGGTCCAAGATGACTTGTGTAGGTAAATGTGATAATGATGATGACTTTGATGATGATTTTACCTAAACCTTGGTTAAAATCACCATGTCTCGCTTTCTCAGCTGCGCATCAATGGTTCTGTTGGGCGAACTTTGCCGACAAATGGAGTCCATTCGTAAGTTCTCAATAGGATATATTTTGGCAATAACTTTTCATGGTACAACCGTGAAAGAGAGCTAGTGGCCACAGAAGCATGCGTTTGTCCCAAGCATGTTTTTACTCGTCGAAAGTTTTCAGAGACTGCACGACACCAAGAAGACTTCAAACGTGCAAAAGTATGGGTTGTCAATTGCTTCCTTCATGAAATGACAGAAAGTCACAAATCAAGCTTTCGTTCAATCCCGTCTTTTGTGGGACTCAATTTCTAACAAATTTTTTTTCTGTATCTTGTATCAAACCAGGAGCAGACGAACCCCCGTCGTCGGCTCTTACGCCTCCCCTGAGCGATGCATGGCGGGATTGCATGCTGATGCACGCTGGGTTCTTTCGGTGCAACGAGTGTCTGCACGCGTTGAGTATCGGCTGCGAAACGAACTCGGAGAGCGCAGCCGCTTGTGGATTGCCGGTCAAAACAAACCCGCTCCACGCTGCGGGTCGCCACGTGTGGCTACGAGTGCAGTGAAACGAACTCGCTATAAAGTAATTTCAAAAGAAGCCCAGCATTTTCTTTTATTTATAACCTAACCTTAGATTTACTCACTAAAAATTTGATTTTTCCGAAATAATGTATAAGCATTTTATCGCGAACATATTTGATATTACTAAATTGACCATTTGGCAAAGGTCATCATGATATTGCCACGCGCGTCCGCGAGAGACCGCGTGCGTGGCCGAGTGGTTAACGCGCTTGACTCTCGTGCGAAAGCCCAGCGTTCGATCCCTGGGAGCGACGACGCGTCTTTTATTTATTCTTTGAATTTAGATTTCTGGTAAATTCAAGAACCCTGTTGCTTGTTCGAGGTCCGAATGTTATACACGCCGAATCTTCTACGCCGGTTGTCCCAGCAGCCCACGCTGGGCTCCGCGTGGCGAGCCGCAGTCAGTCTCGCCCCAGCGTTCGACTCTGCTGTTACGCCAACTTCGACGCCCGCGACGCTCTGCTGTTATCTTCTATTTCCTTTTTATTTTTGGGCACAAGTTTGCCCCATTAAAGGTTTCAGTTTCCTCAGTTATCCTTTGTTTCCTCGCCTGTTCCTTCCTGACAATATCGACCTCTTTTTTGGTGAGATGCATAGTTTTTCAGGAACGATTTGGGGGGGGGGGGGGGGGGGGGGGGCGGCGTTTCGTGAAGCATCATGTATGAGTATAAATGCAAGGTAATTGTGTTAATCGCCGTAAACTTTAAGAAGAGGCGTTCGTTACCGTGATATTGTCTTTACTTTGCGTTCCTCGTGCTGGGAGACCATTATAATACATTGGCGATATCATTAAGATGTTATACCGAACTTTTAATCACATGTTTTCTGTATTAATTTACAATTTCAGTATTGAGTGCTGTTATAACCAGAGGCAAACTGAATTCACAAAATTTTCAAGGAGGCTAAACAGTTTTATATAAACATCTGCCATTATTCGCGTTTATTCGCCTGAATCTGAAAGTAAACGTAGGAGACAAGCTAGGAAGCCAGTTGACTATAAAAACCAGTTCACACATCGGCGACTTCTTAGGGCCAAGTGCCTTAAAACATCTAAAAATACCTTACGACGAGAGAACACAGTGGCACGCTGGCGCCATCTACGCAGTGGCCTTGCATTTCACTAGAGCGAAGGTTTGGCTAGATTTGCGAGGTCAAATGTGCGTACTTCCTATGAGAAACAGTCGTTATAACGGGAAAAAAGTATTTCAGGGCAAAGAAGAAACAATTACGCACAAAAAAATATATATCTATAGAACCGCCAAGTATTCCACGGCTCTCCGATAGCTGGCGCCAGTGTTTTTTTTTTTTTTTTTCTTTTTTTCTTGTTGCAAAACATTTTTAGATCTTTCAGAACACACGGCCCTCAAGCAGTCGCAAGTGAGTGAACCGGCCTTGATGCGCAGGACAATATGGCATCAACGTGATTGACACTTTCTCATTATCTTGGCAGCTGGTCATTGGTGAAAGCACCAAGGATATGCTAGCGAGTAAAGACCCTATGTTCATCACGTGTAGATCACTGTCCTGCGTTCCGGTCTCAGCAGGGCTCCTGGCGCTCCTTACAAAATAAGTTTTAGAAATAGGCAACCTAAACCTATAAATATTCGGTGACTACCTAAAATGTGTCGCCTTCTTTCAGTTTTATGAATTGGCGTATTATTTAAAATCTGCAATCAAAACAGATACTGCTAAATATCCCGAAATTTAATTATTAAGTTAGTTACCAAATTCATTAACATATGTGGATGATTTCCCTCCCATTTAATATCCCCTGCCACGATAAGCACATATTGAGGACGGTACTCATGAAATAGTTGCAGCTCAAAACAAAGTTTTTATCACTGACAACAATCATAAGGCATCCTCTGCAAACGTCCTAGATTTTATTATGGGACATTTTAGTGGCTTATTTAGTGTGCATTTTTGGACATTCCATTTCTCAATTCTATGCAATACCTGCAATGTTTCATTCAGTACACAAGGTAGCCCTAGTTTTTTCTGTAAGCCCCTTCTTTGATGGTTTTTTACAGAAAATTTAGTATATAAAACAATCAGACCTAAATACATCACACGTGGAGCAATGCATATTTGGTACAAATAGTGTACTACCTAATTTTCCGTTGCATGAATCACGGAGTTTTTCTGCAATTTCTGTCTGAGTCTTACGTAACGGTGCAACTTATATGCGTTCTTTTATAGATATGAACTTTAACTGTGGGAAAATATGGCCATGGTGACATTTATAATAAATGGAGAACGGCAGAGCACCCGACGGTGGCACTCTCAGTGATCCCAAAACGGTCCAGTACCTTTTGCTAATATGCCTTTTGCATAGGTACGTGGCTGGATGGATAGTTATGCTTGAATCCTCTTAATCGAGCGGCTGCCTGCGCCCCCTAAACAAACATCTTAATTTCAGCAGTTTACTGATCGCTCACCTATAAAACAATAAGGTTAAATATTCCATATAGTGCAGGGTGTCCCAAAAATGTTAATGCTGTTGTTTTTATTTGTTTTGTTTTTTTATCGCAAAAATAAACTACGCATTAACGGACGCCGATTTACAGCCGAATTGTAGCACTAGCGGCTCAAACCAGATGTCAAAGTTAAGGAACTCTCCATTACCTTATTTGAAAGTTATGAGTGATTTTCTCAAATGTTCAATGAGAAAATCGCGGCCGAATATATAGTGCTGAATTGCGCCGGTTAGCGAAAATGGGGCGAAAATGAGCCTTATTATCTCATGAAAATTTTCTGCAAATCACTTCTAAGTTTTGAATAAGATCACGGTTAGTCCTAAAATTTTGGCAGGCAGCTTGGACAACTGGCGCTACATTTGAGCGGAGAATTAGCGTTGGCGATGCGAAGCTTATTTTTACAATAGAAAGCACAGTAAACTTTTTGGCACACCTAGTGTATTCAAATTACACTCCGTATGACGGTGGCGCCTTTTTGCAACTTGGCAAACACACTTTCCGCCCTACGAATTGAAAAGAAGACAATAACCAACTTCAATCTTTCCTCGATTTATGACAACAGTCAGATAACCTGTTCTTGTTGATATCCGCTTTTTTGTCGTCACTGCCTTTAAGGCCCAAAGCCTTGGCAAAAATCAGTATTGCCTTTGGCAACTGCAGAATGAAGTCCTATACAATAGAGTATTAAGAATTCAGCCATCTTCTTTTCCTTCCCACTTGCGGACAGCGACTGCACGTGCCATCCATCGCAGCTCTCTGCACCTGCCTGCTAGTAAAACGGTGGAACTTATAAAACGGCGCCAAATATTAGCTAAAAAAGACGGCATGTTGAAACCCTCGAAAGTCACAGTATCATAATTATTGTGAAACAAAAATTTAGCCAGATTACCGATTCAATAATTAAAAAATCGTATATCCAAATGTTATTGTGTTTTTTTGTTTTTTTTTTGTAGTTCTTTTTGTAGAAAGGTGTCGTACGTACCTCGACATACTTTATTACATTCTTTTCTACTTCTAAATACATTGGTTTGAGGCTTATCGTTCGGTGCCGATATGCTTTTGCATTCTCCTAGACTTGCGTTATACGTGAGCATTGGATAACTCGTCTTTCTCCCGTGCTCTTCAGGCGTTGTAAAGCAGTATGAGGGTACACGGCCTTAAATATAAAAAGGTTCATAAAAAATTTGTGTAAATGATATACAGTGATGTCTCGTAAAAATAGGCACGTCCGTTCCCTCAAAAAATTGTCCATTATGTTAGTTGTTCATAATAACGGGACAAAAATGCATATACTTTTGGAGTTTTTCCTCGACAATTGTGTTCATATAGCGAGGAATCCATATTAACGGGGTCCATATTGACGAGACATGAATGTTGTAAAAATGGCATGCAAAAGCTCCTTTTTTAGAAGCAAATAATTGTCGTATCTTACTCATGTTTCTAAAGTAGTCGGATGTATGTTCTATAGTACAGTGCTTAGAAGCTTATCCACAGAAACGCGTTTTGTGATTTTTTTAATAAAATTTTATATGGCAATTCTTTACATGACAGGGAACTAAAGTTTAAAAACCATTCTATACTAGAGCGTGTACACTACGCTTCGATTCGACTTCGGTCTGTCCGCAAAAATCGATTTCTCGATTATCCCACTGGGATTTACTATAGAGGTGCGGCTAGGTGGTGCACGTATAAAGTTAAAATATCACCGAATAAACATATATTGTTCTAAAGAGAAAAAAGAAAAACCTGTTTTGGGCAATCTACGGCGACATTTCCCTGCGACGCTGACGGTGTTTGTTGACTTGGAGACGCTGCCAACAGATGCATGGAAAAACTTTCATTGAATCGTTTGCTATCGAAACTCGAACCGGCGGATACCGGACGCCTTCGATTCATACGCCATAGGCCGTCAGCGTCTCCAAGTCAACGAACATCTCACCATCCCCCGGAAATAGCGCCATTATTGGGCGAAACAGGTTTTTATTTTTTTATTTTTGAACGAGGTAAGTCCATCCGTTTACATTTTAACTTTTGCGTGCAGCACCTAGCCGCATCTCTGTACTAGATCCAAGCGAGATACATTGAGAAACCCATTTTTGCGGATCGTCCACAGTGGGATCAAAGCGATAGTGCAGAAGCTACAGCAGAACGACAAGTTAATTTGATGTTCAAAAGAGCTACAACATACACAGGTTTAATTCCCTGAAGCTTCTACAGGAAGAAACCCGTATATTAAAACAAAAACAGGAAGTCGGACATTTTATAACTTGAATACGCACAATGATTATCAAATCAAATTAAAACAAGATTTAATAACTACGCAAGCGGGGGCGTCGGCAGTTTTCTCGAGGGTGGAGGGAGAAATTTATTTCTCCTCCCGCCAGACTGTTTGCTAGAAATGACTCTAATGGCCGGGGGGCGATCACTCCCTCCCTCCACCTACCCTCCCTCGTCCTTCATTATTACGACGCTACCGCACCTAGGGACGTCAACTTGGGACACTATAAATATTGAAGACCCTCTGCTACCTCAATCGCAGACATATATTTAGTCTGTGCAAGCACCAGCAATAATATGATGTCAAATGTTAAGCATCAGCTGTTACCCGCCCCCCTTCCCTTTTTAAAAAAAAACAAACAAACAAAGAGAACATGTTCGTTTTAGGGTTACGAACTTTTTTTGCTTTACTACAGTAAATGCTTACGAATGCGGCAACGCTCCTCCAACACCCTCATTACCGAAGGCCACTGTTCCCAAAGGCGCGTGACGCACTGACGTCATATAAATCGCTATGGCTGGTCCACGGAGCAATTCAAAGTTAGCGTTCGTAGGTGATGGTGTTCATTTTTTGCACCCTTAATTTTAACTTGTATCCGACTATGCACTGAGAAAATGAGGGAGAGGAGGAAACGAGAGAATACGTCAGAATGCCGATCTCTGGTTCGAATGATTAGTGGGAAGACAAAGCTTGCTGCTTCTGTCTCCACTGCACTCGTCGAACGCTTTCGAATACGAGAGTTGAACTTCGGATGCCGGCGTTCCGCGTTGTGACGCTCTCGACGAGTGCAGTGGAGACAGAAGCAGGAAGCGTTAGGTATTCCCACTAATCATTCGAACCAGAGATCGGCATTCTGACGGCACCGCGCGGTCTAGTCTCTTTCTCTTCCTCACTTCCTCACTAAAAGCCTCCTCGGCGGCTTTTATATACAACATTACACGTCTTTTTTTATTATTCATTTATTTGGAGCAGGGGTGGTTACATATTACCCTAGTGTGATATGCTTACGAGCACTTACTTTTTAGTGGCAGAAGCGACCGCCTCAACAAAAATATCAAGGGAATGAAGGCCCATTTCGTTAGAAAAACAATTCCATGCTTAATTTTATATTGTTTAATTGTTTAATAGTCCTAGTATGATTTAATCTAGCTGAACTTTTTGTTGAAAATTGGATGTATCTATCACTATTGACATTTAAGATTCAATTCATAAAGGATATAGATTTCTCAATATGCTCAATTTCGCTCTAACCTCAAATGGCTGGATATTGGCTTTTTCCAGTAGAACTCTCGCAGACACGGTGTATCTGAAGTTATTAGATGTAGATCTCTCAGCCAGTGTTTGCTCGTGTTCAAGTTTATTAATACCATCTGCTGTGTGCGGGTACCAAACTGTGTGAATGTTGTTCTCGCTCGACATTCTTGCAATGAGCGTCATGTCAATTTAAGGATGATTTATGTCATGTCGATAGTAGCTGGTAATGAAAGTCGTTAAAAATGTTATAGGAACTTGTAATTACGATTCGAAATCAGTGCAACTGATTCCCCCCATGAAAGGTTCCGATAGCAATTGGGCGACAAGAGTAAGGAGCAACACAAAAATATAAAATACTAAAGTATAGCTGGACAGCAATAAATTAATTGAAGTAGAACACTTTCCGCATTGCTAGCTTTAAAAGTCATAATTTTTAAAACAACGCAGAAAATAGAACTTCCAGAAAAAAATATATTTGCGAACGGCTAGCCCCGCATATAACCAGAAAGAAAAACTCCGATCAAAAAAGAGTTTGGTGCGCAACTGCTTGCGCTTTAGCTGTTGGACTCTACAAAAATGCTACCGAAAAATGTGCCAAAGACAGGTTGGTAACTCTGGAAGCATCAAGACATTCCACATGTGCCCTCACTTTATAAATATGCACCTAGATGCAGTTCTAAACAAGGCTGAGGTTACAATGATTAAAAAGCGCGACAGGACAACGGACGCAGAGGGAGACACAGAAACATAGCTGTGTCTGTGTCTCCTTCTGTGTCCGTTGTCCTGTCGCGCTTTTTAATCATTATGAATCATCAACTCGCCCAACTTTCTACCCTCGTCTGAGGTTACAACCATTCTCCTTCCGTCATTGCCAAAGGTGTTTTCAGGATTTTACCTTCCAGGCTGTTTGCTTTCTAGTATGGTTACCATTATGTCGAGCCTTTTTTTTTGCGTACATTTTTTTTATTACCCGCCTATACTTCGTCTCACCCTAGGGTGAACTAAAGGCAAAAGCTACGGACATCCAGATCCAATAACAAGACACTTATAAATTGCGTGGTATTTCGCTTCGGTGCACGTGTCGGTGCCTACGTCTAGTGGGCATGGGCGGACAGTGGTTCTAATTGAATTGCGCTGAAAAACTCATCAATTTTACATCGCAAAGAAAGCCACGACATAAAGGATTTTTGCAGTGTCGAAGCTATAAAAATGAGGCAGCGCTTTTGTATTCGGAGCATTATTCGTGCACCCCTTATCAATGTTAAAAATGTCATAGCTCGGCGTGTAACGTGATTGGACCTGGCGGCCTGCGACTTTGGCCTTTAGTCCATCGTTGGATGAGACAAAGTATAGAATAATAAGATTAATAACAATAATGCTCATTTTTGTGGGCCCAAAAACATCCAAGAGGAAATCACTATGGTGCTCAAACAGGACACAAGAAAAAAACACTGCACTGACATTAGTTTGCTAAACATAGCAGATACTGAAACGTAAATAAAAGTGATTATCTATCTTCCAAGTGTTTAGTATTTATGTGTGCCCCATACATGATTCCAGCGACAGTTTGTTTATGTCGTTAAAACTTTTCACAAAAAACTTAAATTAGAATTAAGGATAAATTGAGCAAACTTTAGTAAACCTTCGTTTATGAATTTTAATAGAGGCTGTCACATAGACAATTCTCGGGTGAGGGAAACAAAATATAACTGTTAAAGCGTTCTTTGGCAAATCTGTTTCTGGAATCCTGCTTCCTTTCAAATTGCTCTGGTAAAACAAATATATATATATATATATATATATATAATCATTCTTCATTGTTTGTAGAGACAAGGATATGCAGCATAATTACATTACTTACTTTTGCATGTTTTTCTGCATAAGAATTCACTACGAAACCTGTTTTTTTTCTTATCCCAGTCTTCATTTCTAAAGTGAACACGACGACACTGGTCCCTTGTTGAGTCGTAGAACCATCCCTCTACAAGCTCCCAGCCTCTGGCATCTTCCTCTAGTGGGAGCTCACATCTGCTTTCTTCTTTCGACGCTGCAATATCATCTCCATCTTCGACATAATAATCATCACAGTGGCAGACCCCTAGAAACAATTATGAATTATCAGAAACAAGTTAATTTTGTCTCCAATTCGAAAGCATACGTTTGAGAAAAGTACGAGAACCACGTTACTATTTTTTAGCATCACTGCAGTTTGTAATCCGAACCAGGCATACTTAAGTGTCTCATTTGCTACTCGAAGGAACATAAAACAAAGGAAAACGTTGCAACGCTATCCTCTGGTTTTTTCCTTCGACTTATAAGTTCCTTAATTTTCCGCACCACAGTCTCAGGTGGTCATAATTAATAGTGGCCATGAATGTTGCCACAATATAAATAATAAATTTAAACTCGTTGTCACAGGATCAAGGCTGTTCTGTATTTTGGTGATCATGTCTTCAAAAAAGGAGGCAGGCAGAGGGAACTTCAATTTCAAACATGTCCTCTAATTATTAAGCGCTTTCCAGCTTTCGGAAACTCTGTTTAGCAGAACAATCAAAAGTACATGATACCCGAAAACAATCTTTTTTTTTTTTTCTTGCGAAAACACTGCGCAATAATGATCACGCGGCGGAATTTTGAATTAAATAAAAGAGATAAACCGAGACCAGAAAGCCACCGCAGTGAACTACGACATCATAGTGCACGGGAGTCCCGGGTAGTCACTCCTGGATAGTTCGTGGTACGTGACACCCCGTTACCCTGCGCACAAAATTCCTCTAAAGTAAAACGAGTTTCGCTGTTTAAAGGGGCACTGACACATCAAAATCGTAATTCATTTTATTATCCGAAACGATTGAAAATGATGCCGGGACATTACCCTCAAAATTCGAAACTTGGGAATTCAGTATTTGTGAATTAAAAAAACAATTTCCAAATACCGAATTTGAAGTTCCCGCGCGATCCGCTCCAGCGCAGTGAGTCAAATTTTGCGGTCTCCTGCGACTCAACTTTCTTTCGGACCTCCGCACCACGCTGTGAAGCAAAGCGCCGTTGCTACCGCGACCCGAAGAGAGGAGGAGGTGAGCAGGCGGGATAGAAGGGAGCCGACGCGGGGAAAAACCGGTCTTCCCCGACTCGGCGATAAGCCTCTGCTCGAGCGCCGCCAAGGTTTCCGAGGGAGAACACAAATTCAGGAAGTGACATCACACCGAAATCTGATTTTTGGTATTTCAAAAAGAAAGGCCGCAGTGCGTTCGTCATTGCGTTAAAAAACATGTTTTACGATTGCCGTTATAGAAATGTCGCCTACAAAGCTTCTAAATTTCCTGATTTTTGACGTCACCGATCAAAAGAAGCAAGGAGGTTAGCGCGGGAATTATAAACGCCAAAAATAAAAAGGCGCGCGCGCGCGCGGTGAAATTTTTTTTCGCGATGCGATTTTTTTTGCGTGTTTATGACTACAACTTGCATCGTTTTAGACAATAAAAAAGAATACGACCTTTGCGGTGTCAGTGCCCCTTTAAGTGGTCATAAAAATCGTGTTTAATAACTTCTACTAGTTTTATATTGTTCCTTAGATATTTTATAACGTCAAAAATATTTAGTGCTCTTTGACCGAACTATCTTATTGTTCCAAAAACATTAAAAGCAGGCTTAAAAACTGAAGTATCATGCGGCTGCTGGCTTGCTAAAAAAAAGTATCGTTTTGAGGCGCAAATATTTATAATATTTAGATTCTTGTACCTCAGTAGATTCTGTTAAAATATACAGAGTAAATAACCGTAAATACCTTATAACAGTTCGTCGAATAGTAGTGCGTAGTCGACAACAGAATATACTTGGTGTTGCTTAAATAAGAGTCACAAGAAACCAGACATGTACAAATTACTTAAAAAAAGGTAGTTAAGTTACGTTACTGAGTATCAACGCCAAAAGTAATTGGAGTAGAGTAGAAATTACGCATTTGTAATAGTAATTGAGTACACTACAAACTACTGCAAAAAGTAGCGAGGTACTTTCGAAGTTACTTTTTATATTTTTGTGGTAGCAAAATAAACAGCAGTTTTGACCCATGAAAAACCCTTCGAGCCTAAAATAAATGCAGTCATTTTACGTCTTGCGTTTTCACCACAATAGTTCATTCGCTCGCCGAAGCAATTGACTTTCAAAGCTCTTATCGGAGAGTTTTCTCCTTTTCCTCCTTAGGACGTCCCAGCCAGGCTTGAAAAACGTTCCACTGTGGTGCTGGATGGAACGGCAGTGTTGCATTTCAGAAACAGGCTTGGCAGGGTCGGGTAAGCGAGTGTCTGCACCTTTGGTGTCCATGACGAAACATGTGAGGTTTGCCCTAGCCTAGAGGGTCTTTTATAACAAACTCTCCTTCCCTTTCTTTTTTCTTTGGCAAGTTGAGATGGTTACGACTGGCCCCTCTTTATTCTCACAACGGTCGGAGAGTACGCTGAGCGAGTGCTCCTGGCCGTCAAATGATCAAGTCTCGCGCCACGACGATGAGATCATCTGGACGACTGCGCATTTCGTTGCAGAGCTAGTGCTATGCTACTGAAAAAGAATTGTTTGGGTTTAACAGAAGATGAAACGACGCATACTTCGTCGCTGACGCCGGGTCCAACAAAAGGATTTCCCAAGGATGACTCGCAATCCTCGCCGGCGACTACGGTATCCTGATGTGACGCGCCTGACAAGTAAAACGTTTTCAACGGAAAGAAGGTCTCCCTGGCGTGGACGGTCAGAAGGACGCGAAGGATTACGTGAACAAGCATGGCCACTCGTACAGTTACAGCCGGGAGCGGGAACGTGCTCCCATGAACGGATTATCCGTGTCTCCGTTTGTGCGCGGGGGCGTCCGGCTTTGCAATTAAGGGAGTATGCGCTGACGACGAGGCGACCATGGAAACAGGCGCCCAGCTGCGAGGTCGTTCCAGCCGCGCCTCCCGTGGAACCTACCGCTTGAGTCAGAACTCACTAAAGGCAGACTACATGAAAACAACAACCCTCGGAGTGTCGCCACATTTTCCGGTTGCAGCTGGAGGCGCGGCGCCTGCGTGCATTACCGGATGAGGTCAATACCCGACGAAGGCTTGTTACGCATCTCTGCCTGCTTTCGTGCGCGCCGGTGTAAGGACGCCTTTGATACAGTTTCTAGGGTTGCCGAGTACAAGTGCGTGGGAACGGAATGTGAGGGGGCCCCTTGTTCGGGAATGCCACTTCATCTGCCGACGTCTTATTTATTTCTGCGCTCAAACTTTTGTGATGAGCAAAATTAGCACTAGATTTTGAAAGTAGTTAATAATTTGAGTAGAAGTTACCTGAAACACGTAGTTAAAGTAAAGTACTAATTACCAAAAAAGTTGTAGTCGAAAGTTACCATGTTACTCGGAAAAGTAATTAAACTACAGTAGTTTGACTAGAGTTGTTGAACTACGCCCAAGTCTGCAAGAAACTGAAGGTTTTTTTTGTAGATGTGTGACATATTTGGGTACTTCACAGTTAAGAACACATCATACTTCGAATAACAAGCTCTGCTAGATACATGTTGATTTTAGTATTACGAACGGCAGCTTCATAATAGTAACAAAAAGGAGGCACAGTAATAATCTCTGCGTACCGTAACCGTCCTGTCCACATTCTATTACCCTGCCCTTACTTCAATTGAATGCAGTAGACGCACATTGTGTGGAAGGTGACATCGTAATAAGCTTTTCTTATTTACTATTTTTCTGGTTAGAATATAATTACAGTTTTTTGTCTATAATAAATACTGAATACGTTATTTATTGACTCCTATACATTACTGAAGCAGGATGACCACAGAATGCATAAACGGTCCAAATGGGAGGAATCTATGATCTACTCATCCTAACCACAAATTGTCTAAACTTGTTAAAACAGTCTTGCACTGGCATATGCCTAAACTACGTGTACTGGATTGAAGTGAACACACTCTTAATGACCACATATTTGCGTTTGTGACGCTGCGGTGGTCGTTGAAGGGGATTGTGGGAGTGACCTTTTCTTTCTGGTCGTGGCTAGAAGCCAGTCTCCCAGTGGAGGCGCCATTGGATTTCTGAGGAACATGAGCAGGCCTCGCCAAAGCTCTAGGGCGTGCTGGGTTGGGATGCTGGTGTCAGGGCAGGCCCAGACGTTCAGGAATGAGGGTACTGGGGCGCGTTCGATGGATGCCAAGACTATTGTCGGGATGCGGCGTACTGCGTGCAGGACCACGGGAGATAGAGCAGGTCCGCCCTGAAGTGGCAGATTAGGCAGGTGCCAGGTGCAGATGACACTGTCCCCCTGGCGTTCCAATGGAACCGCTGCCGACGATGCTGTGTCAATAGGGTCCCTGTCTGGATTTGGCGAACCAGAACGGTTACCTTGCAAGAGATATGGCGGGAGGGTATAGTGCGCATGGATAGCGGGTTAACAACCATGGAGAGGTAGGTGACGCGCGCCTGGATTTATTTGAGCGCAGGCCGTGCCAAAGGTCGGCAATGATATATAATAATAATAATAATAATAATAATAATAATAATAATAATCAATCAATCAATCAATCAATCAATCTTTATTATACAGTGCCCAGGAACAACCCTGAGGTCTTGGTGCTGGTACACTGGTGGATAAAAAAAAAACAAAAAACAAAAAAACACACTATACACATCTCCGCAGAAAATAAGATACACTTTTAGCATAATACTAGGCAGTGCACGAGTAATTAGTACAATGAAATAAAAACGAGGCAGTAACAGTAGAGACGGAACACAAGACCGAAGGACAACAACTGCACCACCAGAAAACACGACATGGAGATGACGACATTCAGACATAACAAAGCAATTCAGCAATGCTCATCCTGCACGGGCAAGTTTTTAATAGAAAGGACAAACGTCCTGTAGCAAGGGTTGAAAATATCAAGTTTTTCAGAGTAATGATTCAAACGCTGAGCCATTCTCACAATTGGGTTTACCGGACTAAACATTCTAGAAACATAAAAAGATGACAGAAGACGAGTAGGCACACGTGGGACCCTAAGGCACAGTTCAGATAACAGGCTCGGAGAATTGATGAGTCCATGCAGCGTTT